ATATTAAACTGAAAAGTATAACAATTATTGTCCATAAATATATCTTTCAATTTAACAATTAATTTTTAAAAATATTAATTAGAAATTACATTTTTAGACAAATCTTTCCAATAAAAAATTTTAGAAAACCCGACTCAGTCTACACTATTTTCATTTTATATTATTTAATACAATAATTAATTCTTTTTATTTTCTTAAAATGTATAATATTATATAAATCAATTCATTTAATAACATAATTTATATTACATCATTCACCCAAATTTTAATTTCAAAATTTCTCCTATCTATCACTACTCTTTTAATAAAGTAGTCACGAAAAGCTTAAATTTCGCGAAACTAGAAGGTTGGAACTTCCTAGGCAAGTTGCACCTAGCCTTACCGCCTACTTCTAAGTTTATCCAGTTTCCTCTCCGCAGGGTATACATGGCCATCAGAACAATACCTTGAGTTGTATCGTTTTTTTTTATTTGAAATTTGTTTCAAAGTAAATTTTTATTTTTAAATTTTTTAAAAAATTGTAATATTTTTATGAAAACAAAATCAATTATTTTAAAAAAAGAGAGTAATAATTATAGATAAAGATTCACATCTTAGAAGTTAAAAATTGATATACATAAAATGAGTGAAATTATTATTATATTTTAAATAGTTAATATAATATTATTTTAATGTGATTGCTTATGATATTCATATATTACATTTTTTTCTCAAAATCTTATATTTTTTTATTTATTAATAAATTAAATAGTATAATAATTAATTAAAATAAAAATATATAACATTAATAATTAAGAATGTGACAATAATATTACTCATATAAAATTTAAAATAAAAAAATATAACAAATTAAATAAATTACTTACCTAATATGATGCTTTATATATCCTTCATAGATCTGGTAGAAGTTGATAAAAGCCACCGCGTTAAGAATTTGCTAAGATCTTCCTTTTCTCACACTACACAAAAAACGACTCTTAATAAGTAAATATTGAACAACGAGTGTGTGAAGAGCACCCACCATAGTAATCCTTCCTGTAGAGAGCCTATTGGTTTCAAATTACTCATACTAATTGTCTCTATATTATACT